GTTTCTACTCTTAATAAGTTACAGTTTTTTTTAACTTCTTGTTAGTATTGATTATAAGATATTAGTATATTCTTTTGTTTCATACAACAAACATACTTTACTTGTACACTAGGGAAAGGAATATAATTCCTTATCCAAGAATGCATAAAGCATGAAACAACACTATATGAAAGATTGCATGTTCTCCCAATACTCCAAACCTATTTGCTTCCCACATAATTAATACCCCAAAACAATTAAACAAAATTTAATTTATAAGCCCCTCCAATCCATGGACCATGTTTTAAATCATCTTCAAGATGGCTACCATTGTTGCATTTGCATCTCCTTTTCCTCCACCTTGTACCTCCAAACTCTCCCACGTAGCTCCCAATGTTCCTCTCGGGTACCAAAAGACCCATATCGCCTTCCACAAAACCAACTCTTCTAGCTCCACCCGAAACCTTTCTTCCTCCTTTGAACGATCACGAATTCGTGTCAAAATCTTCTCCTTGTCATCATCATCCAAAGACGATAACAATAACAGTGGCACTGGCACTGGCACTGGCAGCAACAACAAAAGTGTTAACGACGATGTTGATGGCCATATGAATTCTGACGTTTCCAGTGGTGATGAGTTCAGTCTCTTCGGAAAGCAAGTATGTACATCTAGCGATTTTTCATCTAGAAATAACCCTAGTGAACCGTCGATTCCTTAATGTTCTTTAATGAAGACCCACGATCAGATTCCTTGCTTCGATGGCAATATCTATTGATGGATGCATTGTTTGATCAGCAAGCCATCCATGGCTTCTTCAAGCACTTGATGACGAGTTTGGGAGACAATGTTGAGTTTGTGGTGAAACCCACTTTGCGACATGGAATCAATGTTGGCTTCACCTGGAAATTTCGTACGTAATATAATACATAAAATTAATTATTATTTAATCCCCCCTCCTTTCATATTTAACTTCTTCTAATAATTTTCATTAATTTTATGGTGCTAATTATTTAATGTCTTCTTCATTTGGGTAATTGGGTTTATAATAATTCGAAGAATGGAGCAAGACACATTTTCCTCTTGGAGAAGGTTTAAACCTCTACATTCTCCAAACCTACCAGGGCAAGTTTTTTATAAGGTTTGGATTAATATCAATTTAATCAGTTAGTTCATATTGTATTATTATGCTTTTCCTTCATAATCCTTACTTTGATATAAATTATATATAACAATATATATAGGAACCTTGAGATGCTTGTGGAAGTACTACCCCTTAACATCGAGCCAATAAGATTGGTAAGGGATTTGACATGGCATAATTTGATCATCAATATCAATTTGGATTGATTTAATTATCTTTTTCCCCCGGTAATCTTGATTTAATTATCTTCCAATCTCATATTTGTTGCGTCTGAGTTCATAAACTCACTAATAAGCATAAACTTGAAAGTCATTTACCCCCTCCAAATCCCCCTAGCAAAACCTCAACTTCAAGGGATTACTTATGGATATTTGAAAACCAACTGAGTGCAAAGACTTGTTTGCAGGAATTCGATGAGTCAAATTTAGTTTGCTTAGCCAAATTTACTATGGGTTCTCATTGGCCGTTCCCAATTTGATATTTGCAGAGATTTGTGGCATTCGTGATGGGTATACTAAACATGATGAAAGGTTTAAACCTTTATCGATACAACATGAAACGAGCCATGGTGTATTTACTTTTGATGGCGATTGTCTTATTGTATTTAAGTTCAGAGATTTACTAAATGGTATGTATCAACTACAACACTTAGATTGAAGATAAGGTTGACATTCCAATGCAAAATTCATGTTTGTTTAGACTAGGTATGTGCAAGTTACCGCATGTATACTATTGTAATATAATACAATCGTAGAACGTTCATACGAGTAAATAAGATTTATTCTTAGTTTAACTTGTATCCTTATGTTGTTGGACATATATGATCTTGGATAAGAAAAAAATTTGCGTACTTTCTAAAATCATCGATAAAGTGAGTTATGTTTATATATTGGATTATTAATATTTTCTAATCTCATTTTATTTATTCTTCTGTATAAATATGACATGTGAAGGAGTCAAACCCAATTTCAACTCAAAATAGATCGTCTAATATGACTCATAAAACTTCGGATCACCACAAGACTATTTCCTCTGTGTATCTTTCATGTTTGCACTTTCCACATCTAACCATTGACACTATCTCTCTTAATCCTTTGCACTTATCTCCCTGATCAAATCCTGATCACTATTGATTGGTGAGAGGTTGACTTTTCTTTTCTTTTCTGCGTGTTCTCCATTTGTACTTTCATTTCATCTCTTCCATTTTTTCCCTATCTTTTGTATCAACACTTCTTACTTCTTCTTTGAGCAATGTTTAACTATCAAATGATTGCTACATCATTAGTCCATTCTCGAATTATAGAGAGGCATTAGGTTGTTTTGCTTTAATTTGGGATTTCATTTTTTTCCCCAATGATTTTGTAAGTTTGGTTTTCTTTTTGCGGGTATTTTTGCCATTCCAAGGCTACTTGGGTTTATGTGATTGAGAGAGAAAAAAACTAATTAAGAAAGGAAAGGAAAGCAAAAAAAATGGACAAAAATGAGGAGGAAGTTTCAGGAGAGAAATTGCCTGAAAAAAATGAGGCAAAGGAGACTAAAGGTAAGGACCATGAGGAAGATGAAGATGATGATCATGATGAAGAAAGAAAGATTGAAGTGGGTCCTCAATACACACTCAAAGAACAACTCGAAAAGGATAAGGTATGGAAATACTTATTCATTTCACTGATTTTTGTGAGAGATTCTGTTATCGATTGTTATTTATTTGGAGGCGATCCTATAACATTAAATAGTAAATTCGAAATTTATGATATTCAAATTTTCAACTATCTCCAACTACCTATCACAGTTGACTGATGGTTGAAATGCATAAGCATACATGGATATAGTAGTTATAACCCGTTGTGTTCATGGTAATTGAGAACATTATAGGATGACGAGAGCTTGAGGAGATGGAAGGAGCAACTTCTCGGTGCTGTGGATATTGAGGCTGTCGGAGGTAAAAAATTTCCGAGTAATAATGACTCGGGGTTGCTTTCATGTGCCTTTGTGTTAGTTTTCTAAAATCACATATTTATTCCTTAAAATCGTGCATTGTATTTTACAGAAACTTTGGATCCCGAAGTGAAGATTTTAAGTCTAGCAATCAAATCCCCTGATAGGGAGGATATTGTGCTTTCGATCCCAGAAGATGGAGATCCCAAAGGTTGTTGGTTCACCTTAAAAGAAGGTTGTCGATATAGTTTACTCTTCACCTTCGAAGTCAAGAATAACATAGTGTGCGGGCTAAGATATACCAACACAGTTTGGAAAACAGGCGTCAAAGGTTGCTTCCTCTCTCCCCGACATATTTAATTTGTTTCCTTATTTTTTAAAGATGTTTGTTAAGCTCAAGAAATTGTTAAAATTTCATTTATACGACGAGTAGACATTTTTGTTTTCAGTTTATAACAATTCAAGATTATGTGTTATCTTTGTTCTTGGCAGTTGATAGTACGAAGGAGATGCTTGGAACTTTTAGTCCACAAGCAGAAACTTACACACACGAGATGCCTGAGGAGACTACTCCTTCCGGCATGTTTGCTAGAGGATCTTACTCAGCTAGAAGTAAGGTGAGTGAGTTTTTAATTCGTACCTAGCAACGATGTGTTCTGATCAATTAATTAATTATTATTTTATATTAAGTGATGGATCTATATTCAATAACCGAGATATTCTCACAGAAACCGTAAAAAAGACACTCGCACTTGTGATTTTCACTAGTTTTATTATGATAAATTCATTAGAGAGTATGAAACACAAATTACACATAATAAACTATGGCGAGCGCACAAAATTCTGAAAGTCAAACTAGACAAGACAATTCAATATCGTGAAAGTGTCTCACACTACTAAAAAGTGGCAATAGTTTATGCTTTTTTCTGCCTTTGATAATTGACGAATTGAACTCATTTGGGTTAAGGGATAAAAAAATATCACGAAATTTGTTAGACTATGACATTTTTCTCTCTCACACTATTCATTGATGATTATCATATTGCGTGTTTGTTCTTTGCTACTTACATTTTGTTCATGTTTGTTCTCAGTTTGTGGATGATGATAACAAATGTTACTTGGAGATCAACTACACCTTTGATATTCGTAAAGAATGGCTGCCAACATAAACGCAACAGAGATATTGGTCTAATATGCTTGGATGACAATATAATTTTTGAGGGCTTCATATTGTTAAAATTTATTTTTGTGTTATGTTTATGTTATATTTACAATTAGCATTGTACGAAGACTTTGTCTGCCTTTATTTTGTCATTTTGATCGAAAAAGCTAAGAGTTCTTTTTTGTATCCTATCGGTTGAAAGTTTGTATGAGACTATTTATTAAACAATTGTGAGGTATATGTTCTTCCAAATCGAAATCATTATGTGATCGGTAAATACGGATCAAAGAATTCATTGAGCAAAATCGTACGATACATATAGATCACGATTTGTGAGGTTTTGTGACAGTTTTTAATCAACCCTCTCCATTTTATGAATGGGAAATCTCCAGTCCTTGTCTGGCGGGGATTGGGGAAGAGAGTATTCTGGTCTTTGAGATATGTGGAGCATGACTTATAAAATTACTAGTTTTATAACCTCAATTTCTATCACTTCTGATAGACATTTTAATTTCAAAATTTAGGCAAAATGAAATTCATTTCCCAAGCTATTATCATTTCAAACATAAGAGTATAAAATGAAATTGGAAATTGAATTGCAATTCCTCAATTTTCTGTCTGACCAAACATGCCGTTATATACTTTTTTTGGTAAAATAAAACACGGAAAATAAATATTAGGGGCAGATCACAAGTGGGCTAAGCCCAAAGGAGCTACGGCCCATGAAGTACACGACGCCGTATTCTCCTATTCTCTTTCCCGGTCGCTTCTCCGCCGGGAAACGAAAACCCGCCCGATTCTGGTTATTCTTCTGCCTCCATTTAGAAGCCGCCTCCCTCTCCTTCACTCCAATTTTTTTCCTGGCTCGCAACTCTCATTTCCAGCTTCATTCTTCGTCGACCAACATTGCTTATCGTTCTTCAAGCTGAGAACTTCTCCGCCGGACCCCTGGTCGTTGACTCGCTCGGGGAAGCACCAGAAGACAACAACAACGAGGGAGTCGAGCGGCATCACTGAACCCTAGAGGTACAGTTTGTAATCCCTTCGTCTCCTTATTTGCTTTGTCGACAGCCTCGGCAGTTAGGGTTTTGGTGTGTGATTAGGAATTTCGATTTCGAGAAGAAGCTTAACTTTAGGTTGGAGGAATTTCGATTTGCCCTTTTGTGTTGCAGGTTGTTGAATTTGGGGAAGAGAGAGTTTAGGGGAGAGGATGGTGAGGAAGAGAGATCATGAAGTGGAAGAAGGTTCCGTTAAAAGACAGAGAGTGGAAGAAGGTCCGTCTTCTCCTGTAGATACTGACAACCCTCTAGTCCCGTACAATGATGTGGACGAGGAGGAGGAGAATGAAGCGAGGGAGCAGAACAATGGCGGTAGGGGTGGAGAAGAGGGAGCTGTTGTTGATGATGATGACGACGATGATGATTATAATGAACAAGAGGCGAGCATTCAGAGGCGGAGGAAGCTACTGGAGCCTCGTGAGGACTGTCCTTATCTTGACACAGTGAATCGCCAGGTAGGGGGAGCTCTGATGTTTTTTGGGTGCTGAAAAATGTGGCCTTATTTTTTTTTCTTCTTGTATGTCAAGGAAGTTTGAATGATGGGTGTCGATCTACCTTTATTTTGTAGGTGCTGGATTTCGATTTCGAGAAGTTTTGTTCCGTCTCTTTGTCGAATCTGAATGTTTATGCGTGCTTGGTTTGTGGGAAGTATTACCAAGGAAGAGGGAAGAAATCCCATGCGTATACTCATAGTCTTGAAGCAGGGCACCATGTGTATATCAATCTAGAGACCGAGAAAGTGTACTGTCTTCCTGATGGATACGAAATCATTGACCCGTCTTTAGATGACATACGGCATGTGCTGAATCCGAGGTTTGTTTCTTTTGCTTTACCCCTTATTCTACCTTGTGAAGATGTACAGCTTTGCACGAAGCCTTTTCCTGAAATTTATTATGGGCGAGGGGTGATACACACAGCTTCTTGTTTGGATTGTGATGCATGCAGGTTTACCAGGGAGCAGGTTGCACAGCTGGACAAAAACAGACTGTGGTCTAGGGCGCTTGATGGGTCTGATTACCTTCCTGGAATGGTGTGCATTTAATTCTCTATTCTTGCTCCATTTCCTGAATGTTGATGTGGGTATTTTCCTTACAAAATGATATGTTTATCCCTTTGGTTTTAGCTGTGTTTAACTGTAGCCTTGATCCTTGTATTATCAGGTGGGCCTCAATAACATCCAGGGAACTGATTTCGTGAATGTTACAATCCAGTCTCTGATGAGGGTAACACCTTTGAGAAATTTCTTCCTCATTCCTGAGAATTATCAGCACAATCGGTCCTCTCTTGTTCAGCGTTTTGGGGAGCTAACAAGGAAGATATGGCACGCTAGAAACTTTAAGGGACAGGTAGGGCATTAGAAATGATGATATATTGGAGATGGTCTTTGTATTTTAGCTTTATCATTCATACTGTAATTGTGTGCAGGTGAGCCCTCATGAGTTTCTTCAAGCAGTTATGAAAGCCAGCAAGAAAAGGTTTCGCATAGGCCAACAGTCTGACCCTCTTGAGTTCATGGCTTGGCTTCTCAATACGCTTCACGCAGAACTTAAGACCTCCAAGAAGAATAATAGCATAATTTATGACTGCTTTCAGGTAATAGTCTGCCGTTGTAATGCTATTTGGCTAATTAGCATTTCCATGTTCCCAACTGTTCGCTGCTGTTACTTGTGTACAGAATCTTATGTTTTAGCTGCTTTGGCTTGGCAGGGAGAGTTGGAGGTTATCAAAGAGATTCCTAAGAAAGCTATCACTGAAAAGAAAGAAAATGTTGGTGACAAGAGTGAGAAAACTACTGATGGTGAGACAGAACGTGGTGATCCTCTGATGGAGAAGTCCAGAATGCCATTCTTGATGCTCGGACTGGATTTGCCACCTCCTCCTTTGTTTAAGGATGTGATGGAGAAAAACATTATTCCACAGGTATTTGACTATTCTCTATGTCCTAACTTTTAGGTTTGCAATGTTGTCTGGTGGCTCTCTCTCTCTAGGATTTCCCATACTTTATAGCCTAATAGATCCTTAATATGCCTTACTTTATCCAAGTCAATTCTGTTGTTGTTTTAAATGGTGTTTGTCCACAACCTAATGCCTTAATGTCATGTGAAAATGTTGGTCTTTGTGGCTATCCTTGCCCTTGGTAATTATTATGGCTAGATAAGGATTAAGGAATAATTAGGATACTCAATCGGCCATGTGGATTGTTGGCAATAAGTCAATAACTTACTGAATGTTAATTGTTGCCTAATTACTCCTCAATCTACTGTGACTTGAATATTAGCTGTCTTGCAGCCATGTTAATTGAATCTATGATAGATTTATCACCTGAAGGAAGAAGCATTCATCTAGTCTCATATTTGTTAAAATCGGAAGTGGATTACTGAGTACTCTCCTTTACCAATAGAGCGGCTGAACTCATATCCCGAGACATTGACATTGCATATCTGTGAACAATATACTGTTGGTTTTGGTAATCTATTATGCCAATTGTACACATCATGCAAAGATGTTAAAGTTCGTTTTTATGCTATATGGACTTGTTGACTCTTACTATGAGCAATACTGCCTGGTAATGTAGAACCTGGGTTTCTTTGATTTAGTGTTCCTCCGTGATTAATTCTGTACACTTCTCACTACTGTTGTTTTAGGTTCCTTTGTTCAACATACTGAAGAAATTCGATGGAGAGACTATCACCGAAGTAGTCCGGCCTCATATTGCCCGGATGAAATATCGAGTGACCAGATTGCCCCGATACATAATCCTTCACATGCAACGGTTTAAGAAGAACAACTTCTTCATTGAGAAGAACCCAACAATAGGTTAGTCTCCATCACGAGCCAGGAATTCTAGCATTGAATTATCATCAACTCCCAAAGAGCTTCTTGTGCTTACATTTACATATAAATTGGTGTTGCAGTCAACTTTCCCGTGAAGAACTTGGAACTTAAAGATTACATTCCTCTGCCAACGCCCAAGGAGAACGAGAAATTGCGGTCGAAGTACGACTTGATAGCCAACATTGTCCATGATGGCAAACCGAAAGAGGGTGTGTACAGAGTGTTTGTGCAACGGAAGTCCGAAGAGCTATGGTAAACCACACAATCCTCATTCCCAATATTGATCTTCTTCCATAACTCTATTAAGGCTAACGAAGTAATCTCTCGTACAGGTACGAGATGCAGGATCTGCACGTCTCAGAAACACTCCCTCAGATGGTTGCACTCTCGGAGACGTATCTCCAGATATACGAGCAGCATCAGTAGTAGGAGCCATGACGTCCAAGGCTGTGAAACTCGTTCGTGCTACTTCCCTCTCTTTACTTTGGATGCACGACGTGAAATCTGAACCCGATACAGAGCAAAATCCAACAAGATGAATGTTAAGGTTAATTGTTGTAGTGATTGATGTGATGAGGTATTTGATAGTGATCAAAATTTTGGAGGGTAGGGAAGTTCTTCCTTTGCTGTATTACATATGGCTATCAGGTTCGTTGTACGAAAATGAACGGAAATAATTTCTCTCTTCGTGAAGGTACCAGCAAGGTATTAGCCCATTGACTAACACTCGAATGGGCCGGACTTAGTTGGGCTTTGCTTGATCAGTCCAATGAATTCGTTTGGGCCCAAGAACTAAAAACTAGGTGAAACGAAAACGAACGGAAAAGGAATTCTTAAACAAAATGGAAAAAGGACTTATAATAATCCTTAAAAAAACAATCCTAAAAAGCAAAATGGGTAAAATTAAAATCTGAAACTCCCGCGTCAAATTCTCTGCCCGGACGGGAAAACGGAAGTCGAACACACGCCGGATTCTTCTCGAGCTCGCAGCTCCTGGGTAGTTAGATCCTTCACGAATCGGCTAGCTGAGCCTCTCCGCCGTCTGCTGGCCGGTGACTCGCTCAGCGAAGCACAAGTGAAAGCAGAGGAGAAGAAGAAAGACAACAAGGACTCGAGAGCGGTATCAGTATCACTCAACCCTAGGTACCTTTTCTAATCTCTTTCTCTCTTTACTTGCTTCTCGATAGTGAAAAGCTGAGATTGGAATGAACAATTAGGAATTGGATGGGAGGAGTAAATGAAATTGACAGAGGTTGAACTTGTCTTGATAGCGTACTGTCTGCTGGTGTTGCAGGCATTGAAATTGGAGAAGAGAGCGAGTGAGTTTGGAGAGATGGTGGTGATGAAGACATTGAAGAGTGAAGAACTTGATAGGATAATGCTGGATGAACAAGGTTCCATTAAGAGACAGAAAGTGGAGGGAGCTGTTCATGTTGTTGATGATGATCAACAAGGGTCTAGCCTTCAAAGGCGGAGGAGGCAACTGCAGCCTCGTGGAGACTGCCCGTATCTCGATACCGTGAATCGCCAGGTAATATAGCTCTGATGTTTGCGGTATAATTTATGCAAATTGGCTCCATAACAAACCCGATTGGAACCATTGTTTCTTGCAGGTGCTGGATTTCGATTTTGAGAAGAAATGCTCGGTCTCTTTGGAAAAATTGGATGTTTATGCATGTCTGGTGTGTGGGAAGTATTACCAAGGAAGAAGGAAGAATACCCATGCTTATACTCATAGTCTTGAAGCAGATCACCACGTCTATATCAATCTACAGAATGAGAAAGTATACTGTCTTCCTGATGGATATGAAATCCTTGATCCATCTTTGGATGACATACGCCATATTCTGAATCCGAGGTTTGTTTCTGTTCTAATTGTGCATTTATTCCATCGATCCTTTATCGATTGCAGGCAGTGAGACACTCAACTTCATCTTTTGTGCGATGCAGGTTTACAGTGGAACAAGTTGCACAGCTGGACAAAAACAGACAATGGTCTAGGGCGCTCGATGGATCCGATTACCTTCCGGGAATGGTTTGCTTATATTTCCTCAATAATGCTAATGTGTTTATCTTCCCTAGCTAGTAATTCTGTCGGCAGGCTTGGAATGGTGTCATCTTTTTATATGTTTTTACCTTTTAGGTTTATGCTATGTTTTAACTATGGCATTGGTTCTTATACTATCAGGTGGGCCTCAATAAGCTTCAAGGAACTGATTTCATGAATGTTACCATTCAGTCTCTAATGAGGGTAACACCTTTCAGAAATTTCTTCCTCATTCCTGAAAATTATCAGCACTGTCAGTCCTCTCTTGTTCAATGCTTTGGGGAGCTAACACGGAAGATATGGCATGCACGAAACTTCAAGGGACAGGTAATAACGACCTCAGTAATAACGTTAAATAGGCAATGCTAGTCTTGAATGTCAGCTTTCATAATTCATGTTTTGGAATTCTGTGCAGGTGAGCCCTCATGAGTTTCTTCAAGCAGTTACGGAAGTCAGCAAGAAAAGGTTTTGCATAGGCCAACAGTCTGACCCTCTGGAGTTCTTGCAATGGCTTCTCAAAGCACTCCATGCAGAACTTAAAAATTCAAAAAACAATAGCGTAATTTATGACTGCTTTCAGGTAAGTGCTCGACATTGTGATGCTACTGATTGTCTTTTTCCCTGTTTCCCAACTGTCTTTGCTGCTGTTACTTGTGTACTTATAGCTTCTTCGGCTTGGCAGGGAGAATTTGAGGTTATGAAAGAGACAGATGGCAAGACAGGAGATGATGATGTTCTAATGGAAAAATCAAGAATGCCATTCTTGGTGCTCGGACTGGATTTGCCACCACAACCTTTGTTTAAGGATGTGATGGACAAAAGTATTATTCCACAGGTATGTTATCTATTCCTTATTTCCTTAAGTCCTGAGCTTTAGGTTTCTTTCTCTCTCTCTCTCTTGGATGCCACTCTTCTAGTGCTCATAATTATTGCTCAAATAGTTTCCCTTACTTGAGATAGCTTCTTGCCTTAGGTTTCTTTGTTCGACATACTGAAGAAATTCGATGGGGATACTGCCACTGAAGTAGTCAGGCCTCAGAGGGCCTGGATGAAATATCGGATAACCAAGTTGCCAAAGTATCTAATCCTTCACATGCAGCGATTTAAGGAGAACAACTTCTTCATTGAGAAGAACCCTACTATAGGTTTGTTTCGTGTATTTAGTTGGAATATGAACCATGGATTATCATAAGCTCTGAAAGAGATCTCCTTATGCTTATATGTGTAATGAATTGGTGTTGCAGTCAACTTCCCCTTGAAGAACTTGGAACTGAAGGACTATATTCCTCTGCCTAGGAAGATAGAAAAGTCACCCTCAAAGTACGATCTGATAGCTAATTTAGTCCATGATGGCAGACCAAAAGAGGGTTCCTACAGAGTCTTTGTCCACCGAAAGTCTGAAGAGCTATGGTAAGAGATCCTCATCCTACAGCCTTCTTTTGCAATTCTGCCACTAAGGCCAATGACCAAATCTCTGATATCGGAATTTCTTTCGTTGCAGGTACGAGATGCAGAATCTGCACGTCTCAGAGACACTCCCTCAGATGGTTGCACTCTCAGAGGCGTATCTCCAGATCTACGAGCAGCATCATTAGTAGCTCTCTTAATTTTCCATGTACAATGACGTGAAATCTGAACCCGACTTGGAGCAAAAACCAACAAGATGAATGTTTAAGGTTAATATTCACTATAGTGTTTATCGATCGTCCACCCAACTCATGCATTTATTTCAGGTCTCGTGTACAATTTGATGATGATGATTGATGATCATCATGTCTGTGATCGCACTTGTTCAATCAGTTGTCTTCTGAGAATCTTCCCAGCACCAGACCTCGGAACCTTGTCCACGAACGTCACCCTCCTCAGCTTCTTGTACGGCGCGACCTGTGCTGCAATGAAGGTCTGCACACTCGCTTCACTGAGCGAGCTGTTGGGCGCACGGACGACATATGCAATAGGAACCTCGCCGGCCTTTACATCCGGGTACCTAGGTGATGTAGATGCAATGAAATTAACACGATGTTAATTATATTAGTTAAAACATATATAAGCCATATGCATGCAGGTTTTGCTTAGTTAGGTAGCTACTTACGGGATGACAACAGCGTCGACTATCTCGGAGTGGGAGAGCAGCAGCCCTTCAAGTTCTGCCGGCGCCACCTATAACGTACGTACGTATATTAATTAGTGTGTTATTCGATAGTACGTTAATCTTTATACTTAGTAGTAATTAATCCATGCAGTCTTTAGCAAAATTACGTACCTGAAACCCATAACACTTGATCAACTCTTTGATACGATCCACCACGAAGAGTTGCCCTTGTTCATCGAAATAACCAACATCTCCTGTGTGCAGCCATCCTTCCTTGTCTATTGTTTCTCTCGTAGCTTCAGGATTGTTATAATATCCTGAACATGATGATACATGCATAGGAGCCGATTAATTCAGTGCAACACGAGGAAAGGAGGTAGCTCAACTCGGCCATGTTGTTCTCAACACCACCATCTATGAGAACGTGCACATAGGCGTCCTCGGATGAATGCGGTGGCAATGCAGAACGCCCATCATGCACAATCCGATGACTGTTCGCCCTATTCGCCACGTTCTCTCAGATGGCGTGTTGCGAGCACCATAGCTTGTTTCGAGCTATATTTATGCGAGGAAAGTGAAGGGTTCAAAGTACAGTTGTTTAGCTTGATTGGCGTTACGGTACGTACCTTGCATCATATTTGGTCCACGAACACAAATCTCACCAGTTTGATTGGGTGGCAGTGGATTCGACGTCTCTATGCCAATTATTTTGGACTCAACCCCGCCATCGTATCTGTTAGAGTGTGGTATAAGATCCAGCATAACCTTCTCCCAACAACTTGAGTTATTGGGATCAACTGGTTTATGACATGGTATCAGAGCTGGTTTGACCAAGTAGTCGTGTGTTCGAATCTCCACGACCCCCAATATTAACAGTTTATTAAAGCACAAGGTATGGTGGGCCTGTGCAAACTTCAAGCTCATGGGTTGGCTTTCGTTTGAGGGGGCGTGTTAGAGTGTGGTATAAGATCCAGCATAACCTTCTCCCAACAACTTGAGTTATTGGGATCAACTGGTTTATGACAGTATCTTCACACGGAGTCACCCTAACTCAAGAATCAAGGCGAGAAAACGATTTCTGATTCAAACATGATTCACAGGACTTCAAAAACCAATCATTTCCTAAAACACCACTGTATTTCAGGACACCAGATTACTAAACTTAAACATTAACTACACATAAGCAAAAGGGATAAGCCTATGCAGCTATGCTATCAATCAAACAACCGTACGCACCAGAATTCTTGGCAGATAAGGCCAGGAATGAAGCCACCTAATCATGGATCCAGAAATTGGGGAAGATTTTACTTTACTTGCTTAAATGAAAGCAACTAAGGTAAATAGCAAAGGGATGGGTAGAACCAAAATCTGAAATCTTCAGAATTCACTAAAGTAATCTACAAAAGCTGGACGGAGGAAATGTAAACCGCACTAAAAGGAACAGAAAAGGAAAGGTTGAAGGACAAAATCTGCTCTCGATGAGTTCTAGTCAGAGGTCATTCTCAGAAAAATCAATTTCTAAGTTCCAAAAATCAGAACCCAGGAAGCAACTGCAACAACGCGTTAAAGGAAGAAAACACTAAACTTTCGATTCAATCTCATGAACCCCAAAACTCCCAACCAAAACCCATCTCAAAACTCCTTCAACCCATCACAAAGAAACGAACTTGAACACAGAATCACAATTGGAACCAGACAAGAAACAGGATTTGAAGACAATCTAAGCCGAGTAAAGCGAAACCCAGATGAGAAATTGCAAAATGACGAGCAGTGGCTCCACTTCCTCACCTAAATTCTCCGCAGGAGGGGCTGTCTCTCTGGTACAGATAATTCTCCTCTTCTCGAGTCAAGCTAACAGCGGAGTGTAGGCTTTTGCGTCTTCTAGTTACTTGCTTTCTAGCTTTTCTCTCTCAATTCATTCAATCACTCTGTCAATTCATTCGGGACTCCAGGTTTGCTTGCTTCTACAGAGTATTTTAATGGAGGCTGGGTTGGTTATTTAACAATACTCGCCATCTCTGGTTAGCGGCAAATGCCCCTGGAAGACCGAAGGATTTACGCTTGCTGCCATCGCAACGTGTGCGGGGATTTTTCTTTTGGCGCTTTCAATTCTACAACTTGGCGCGGGGAATAAAAACAAACGTTTTACCGTCACCGTGTACGGCAGCATTACTGTTACATTTTTTCACTCGGAAATTCTATGGTTTTCTTTATTGTTAAAAATGTGGAAATTCCATTCAAGTATTTTTTTTAATTGTAGGACTATTAACAACGTGCCAATGTTAATGACTCATAATATTAACAATCGATTCAATTATATAGCATGAAGAGTCTATCAAATAAGCTAGTTCTGAGTTGGTGACTTTGTATATTGAGTTTCAATTGAACAATATGTATAACATTTAAATAATGTGGGGTTCGTCTTTTAACATACTATTCATAATTTGATTTATCGAGGTGCGACATTTTTCGCGAATTGGGTTCCAAAAGTATTTAGGCATGCTCGCCCACTGGCCAACCACCCAATATCATCCCCATAGGCCATAAGTGTTTAGAATAAAAGAAGACTATGGTGTTGATTTTTCTTCCTAAAAATTCCAATCCTATAATACATAATTAGTTTATATTATCCTAACAACCCAACTTCACAAGCTTAAAGATAAACTAAGCAGACCAAAATCAATGATTATAACATGATTCATCTAATACTATATATTCAATTGAAACAATGATTTCTATATAGTATTTTACATTTTTTTTCCCCTTCTAGTTATTAGCTAAGCAAGATGTAATCATGACGAAATCTTCATATCCACTACCACAGTCACACATCTTATTAAACATGTTCACTATAGCCCCTAAATCATAAAATTTCAGCAACTAATTATTATACGGATAGTACGCTAAAACACAAATGATATATAGATGCACCGAGAGAATCGGTTAGACATAAATGTAATAAATAATATCCCGAACCGAGAAAATTGTATCAATATCTTACGCATGAGTCAATTGTCGAAGCACCATCTTTCGAAGCATATTGGCAACACTATGATCACCCCTACGAGAACAATCTCGTAATTTGCTATCATATTGAATTTTCACTCACTCGATTTATCTGAGAGAGGTTGAGATACGATCAATACGATTTCATTTCAAGTTGAACTTTGGAAGGTTGAGCTCGAACTTGCTAACTATGAAAACGAGGTCAAAAAACACATGCACGAGCTATGAGAAGGAAAGCCGCGGGGAAAGGGACCCGCAGCACCCAAAAAAAAAAAACGTCACTGACTACCGTTTACTTACTAATAACGAACGGGCCGGGAAGAAACCATGGGCCGCGGTTTCACTTTCACCCACCTGGATCTGAGTGACGCGGTTTCGGCCTTCTCTAGTGGCAGAACTGGTTATTTTTGGAGAATATAAGGGCTGGTTCTGTGGGAGATTTCCCGCGCCTAAACCAACCAGTGTGTGTCGGGTCGACCCATCAGCACCCACCGACCGACCCATAGCCGACCCTACAGCAGTTAACGTACGTTGCCTTCCCCTCCCCATTCCAAGAAGCAACCTCTCCATAACAATAATATAATAATAAGTAACATGCAAACAATATTTCATTAACAAGTTGACGATGAGGAGTTTATAAAGTTGGATGATCGTTGGTATGAGCTATATCATGATAATAATGATAATTAACACGGTAGCATCAGTGGCGGAGCTAGAATATTGATAAAGGGGGTGTCTTTTTCATACCATACAAAATCAACTCTAAAACGAAATAAAAAAATCACCAAAATAATAATCAAGATTTCGTACAATTACATAATAATAATAATAACACATATCGACTATATCGGTTGGCCTTATCCACGGGTTCGAGATTGTTTGATTGGTTTCATATACCAATTGGCCCTTCTCACGAGTTCGGATTTGTTTGATCGATTCCACAAGTTATCTTTTATTTTCGTGCTATTGAAGAAAGCAGAAAACCACAAAAGAGTCCGACGCTGTGCAATTCTGATTCTTGGTCCAAATTCGAGGTTCTCTTCGAATTAGGGTCATAATCACAATCCTTGTTCGAAATGTGTCGCCAACGCATTATTCATCTAGTTCTGAAGACGGATCTTGATATATTCCATGAATAAAAATGGCATGTCGCCATGTCCACATTGTTTGTTGCAACAGAGACAATTGAATTTTATAAACCTAAGCAAGTCATAGATAAATAACAACTACTAAGAATTGACTCGCGAAAACCAGGAGGTTTGGCGAACCAATGGCCGGAAATAGTTTAAATAAAAGTTATTCGTGGTAATTGGTATAAACACTAAAACACAAAACATATGTGGTTTAGATGCATTTTTTATTAACTATATATAAAAAAAACTTGTTGCACCACAGAAATCACGTATCTAGCATATTTGTCAATCTTTGTAAAGAATAAATGAGAATGGAGAATGAGGAATGATGATGATTGTGAAGAAGCAATCGAAAGAGAACGAAGAGAAAAAGGAGAATCTTGGTGCTTTCTCTTTGGTGTAACTAGTTACAATTAGCTAAAGGCACCCACTTCCCTTATCTTCAACTGTTTTACTGAAAAGAGGGATGGGAATTATTCCAAAAGAGGTGCGGAGGGGAATTGTGAAACCAAAAAAAAGTTAATGGTTAGAAAGCAATGGGGATTGAGATCATCATCTTAAGTGGTTTCCACATAAGATTTGGCCTTTACGAGGTTAGCAAATAGGCCCCGAGGAAGACAATTCTTCTACTAGCTACTTGTGTGTTGAATGGAATGAATACTAATGGCTCATTGGTTTAGTGATATCATCAGCAATAAGATGATGATTTTGAGGATGTCAAGTTGAGTTTTAGAGATTTTTAATTATGGGTGTCTTTTTTCTTGCAGTGTAATATATAAGATCGATGTACCAATTGAGACGGAATGAAAGACAACGGTTCGAGTAATGCCCAGTTTGTCAGCACATTACTCTCCTAAAACCAGTTTGTAGCTTCTCCATCTATTGAGCAATGTTCGGTTGGACATTATTCTTCATGGAAAAAAAATTCGTTTTTCAATTATTCTAAGTGGGCAAAGTCGAACATATGATATACTTTGTCATTTTTTATTCCGTTAGGTCATATATATATAACAACACAACTACCTATTTTGCTAATAAGAAGTCACAGTGTGAATGGTAAAACTCTCTTTTTTATGACGATCATATTAGTTATATATTAACTACATACCAGTCATATAATGTGAATGATATATAGTGTGTGATCTAACTGCGCTTTCCATCTTCAATACAATACTAACAACCATGCTTGACCGTGACCTTGAAGTTGCTAGCTTTGGCGTGTATATAATTAGATGAGGTTTAAGTTCCATAGTGATGCTCCTTAAGGAGACCATAAGAATATATAACAGTCAATATTACATATATCCCATAAAATTATATGGCCGATCTAGACATCTCTCCCACTATTGAAAGTTTCAAAAGCAAATAGTTGCTCGACGTCACTAAGGTGGAACCCAGATGAGTCATGCCGGAGACTGAAGAAACACTGATTTCCTTGTCATTATCATCATCAGCAGCAGCAGCATATTTGATTAGGACAAAAATAAAATAATTAAAATAAAAAACTTGGTTCCATTTCATTCAATCTTTCCTCAAAGAATGTGGGCTATCTATTGCTTGCACCTTTAGGAGAAATACCTAGCAATTTCCCCTCCTTTTGTTCTGTGCCTCGTGTTGATTACTATGGCTAAAACGATATGAATGGTAATTCGTGGTTATGGAGGTGGAATGATGATGTATGCTTGACGACATTTAACCTAATATATTTATGGAAGAACTCAACCTAGCTAGTCTTATATGCTCCTGCACTTGAATAACTTATCTGTTTCATCCCTACTCTCTAATCTATCCTTATTCGATCCGTTGTTTGTTATAATGAGTTATCAACTAATATCGATAAGTGATCACAATGATTTCAACCTATTTACAAAACGAAATACTTATATAATCAACACTCCTCCATTCATCAAATTCGATTCTGAATCGATTCGGATCCATAGAACTCCCACCAAAATCTATCGACTAGTAAGATTTGCATTATCCCTTCCATGTGGTATAGACCACATATGAAGAACAGAGAAGCATATAAAATGGTCCCTTTTGCTTTTAGTGGACGTGTCCGTGGGGTGGTGGGGAATAATCATCTACCTACCTTTTCTCTTTTGTTTTCATGATTATCATCATAATCTTCATGTGCCTTTGATTTTCTACCTTTCACCCAATTTCTTCCTTCCTTCCTTCTTTGGCTCTATTTTACTCTCATAAGCTGGATTTGTAATTTGATTTCAATGGGAAAAGCAAGTAAGGGCATGATACAACATGGTTGGTGGGTAATGATGTCAGCCAAATCAGGAAGCAGAAAGGAATTAAACAAAGTGAAACCATAGATCCTGTAAAATAAAAAGTTGATCAAAAGCCAAACCGTGTGACACAATCAAAATATAATGAAACTCGGTTTGGGGTATAAAGAGATGTATGTTTAGACGGTAACTTGAGGCACGAAAAAGTTTGAGAAAACGAGAACCATTATGATCCATATACTAGTCAATCACTTATAATATCAGGCTCAAATTCGACGAGCTAAGACTGTGACAGCCAAAGATACCAAGGTCCTCCACCCTCCTTTTAGTCTAGAGCCTGCCTTGAACCTTCCATCCATCTTTTAGCTCAAGTCATGATGATTGACGAATAACTATAAGTAAGATCAATTTTCTCAGATTTTAGGAGAGAATATCACAGTTTTGGCATCATGTTATTGAATCGAACAAGAACTCATTTCTGTAAATCATTTTCTCCCTTCCCTCCTCTCCACTTTCCAGAGATTGTTTGCTGACTTGATTGCTATAAAGTATTCTTGAAATCCTACAACCATAAACGGTAATAAGACACTTTCATACAAGCCCTTTTTTACACAATTTTAACCATTGTATCAGTACGATTTGAGCTAAATAAAATTATAAGAGATATATATCTTTTAAGGGCTGCCCGTTTAATTGGACCTTATTGTTATTGAGGAAAATATATCATTCTCAAACTTCAAATTATGTATAATTTTTTTTTAGAGAACAAATTATGTTTTATGTATCATTGATTAAATGGGAACTTGAAATTCTCTCCAAATACATTTGAGAGAGTGATGTGGGCCTAGAATTGGGCTTTTGAACTGTAATCTCAACGTGCCTTTTTGTTACCTGAATTGGGCCGCAGCTGCATCCGCATTGGGCCTAAGGATCGTGGTTTTTTCCCCAATCATATGCTATTTTTCACTTAACTCCTTGGGCCTTCCTTAATTAAATTTCCCGCTCGTTAATTAAGAAGAAAACCTAACCTCTTTCGAACATAGAATTCCATTAACGTTTAGGACAACCCCAACCCAAGCAATACAAATACTTCTCTCCCGTCCCACCATCATTCCCACAAACAACAATCCATCAATGGAGAAATTAAGAAGAACAAGATGAAGAACCGCTGCTGAATCTCGAGGACTTGCAAGGCAAAATCGATTTCACCAGCGCCAAGCATTGGACCCCGTTCGACTACCTTCGCAACATCGCCTCCATCGCGCTCACCAAACTCCTACGTCAGGAAGCCCGCCAAAAAGAAGGAACCGATCACCACGACGTCGTAACGTCCAAGAATAGGAAAACCCTATCTGGAATTAGCGACGAGATCGTCGGTGGTGACGATAGGATCTTTGTCGAAAGGAAAACGAGCCGGAGGAAAGCGGACGATGGCTACTTCGTCAGTGGGGACACACGGCTCCTGCTTCAGCAAGCAGGAGCCGTGATCCCCGAAAGGTTCCTTCTCTACGTGGAGACGGAACTCGGAGGGAGGGAGACGAAGTTGATGATACAGAAGAAGCTGTTCGCGTCGGACGTCGATCCTTCGAAGGCTCGGTTGTCGATCCCGCACAAGAAGCTGCTCCCCGGGGTTCTGAACGAGGAGGAAGAGGACGTGTTACGTGGGGCCCGCGGCGGCGACGAGGAGGAGAAGGACACGTGTAGTGGTACGGTGGTGGGGATGAAGGTGAAGCTGGTGGATCCGTCGCTAAAGGTGTGGGAAGTGACGCTAAAGAGGTGGAACATGCCTAAGAAGGGGAGCGGGGTGGTGAACTACATCTACGTGCTGAGCTCGGCGTGGAACGACGTCGTTAAGGCGAACGGCTTGTTGGAGGGTGAGGTGGTTCGGTTGTGGGGGTTTAGGATGGGCCGCGGGGACCCGGGCCGGCTCGGGTTGGCCTTGGTTCGGGTTGACCAGTTGGAAAGGTGAGGGTGGTGGCTAGTAAATGCTGACGGAGAAAGTGGTGGTGGTAATAGATATAGCCGTCGCTAAACAGCATTATTGATTAATTAAGTTTGAATGATCATTGGGGGGTTTTTGTGGTTTAGTTATGTTATTATTCTTAGTAATCTCTATTAGATCAATTGTTTGAATTATCGATGGATGTAAAATCGAAAAAATGGTACGAGAAGATTGTAATTTAGTATTAGTTAATTAGACTTTGATAAAGTCAACAATAATATTAGGCCTGTACGTACGAAACTAAGTAAAGGAAAAAAGAGAGACAAAAAATATCAAAATTCCTAATCTCTCACATTTCCTTTGCCCCTTTTCAAACCAAGAGAAACCAAAGAAAGAAAGAAGAAAAAAAAAATTTGTTTCAAAGATGAAGAGAAGTATCAATATCATCACAGCCACCCATATGATGATCAAATCTCTTCACCATCTTCTGATCCACATGATGGACATTCCTCACAATATCATATTGTTTAACAACCTCTTCATCAAGATCACTACCACCATTATTATTTGCCTGCAAAAACTTGCCAATATCACAATAGTACTCCAAACTCCTCTTCTCCTTTTCATGACGATGATGACTGTACAAACTTTTCTCCTTGTTCCGTCCCTGATAGTGATGAGAGTCGTTGCTGCTGTGTCTGAACGATAATGATGATGATGGTGACGGTGACGATGGGAATATTGTCGACCTAGATTGGCTCGCTCCCAATGACTCGTTATGACGACCATCAAATCGAGCATTTTCAAACCCCAACATCATTGCTTTGGATTTGGCCGCTGCAGAGGACGAGGACGAGGAGGAGGATTTGAACGGATGAGGATGAAGATGAAGTTTACTAGTATGATTACCGGTAGGCTTCAATTTCATTGCCATCACATTGGACATCTTCTTCTCTTCCCTCATCTCCTTCGCCCTCCGCAGCTGCCTGAACCTCTCCTGCAATAGCGTGATCGACGACTGGCCTAACCCTGTAGTGGTCGTGCTGCTCTCTGGCCTCACCATGTCGAAAAAAACCCTTCGAACGAAAACGATTGATCGTTTCTTCTACAAATTTTGTCTAGAGCTATTGAGACGAAGTGGTTTAGGGGTAGTTTTTCTTTCCTCACTTTCTTCTTACACTACATGGTATATATAGTGGGAGGTGGGGTTGGGTGGAATGGAGGGAATCGGCAGGCAATGGAGGAAAATGTTGGGAAGAAAAGGATGAATGGAGTTCAAAGGGAAGTGTCCAAATAGAAGGCATTGGGAAAGTGGGAAAGTAAAGGAGAGAGGGTGGGGTGGAAGAAACTAAAAAGAGTCCTAAAAAATTGAAGAGTGTGCTGTTAGAGGGGATTTTGGGAAGTTAGCTAATGGAAGGGAATGTTTGGAAGAATCATAGGGTGGCTGCTGCTGCTGCCCTAGCAATATTGCCTCTGGCCGATTCGATTCTTCATTTTAGTTTTTGAGCAGTTTGGGGTGGTATCTTATTTCGACCAAACAAGCCTTGAGTTTCTATTATGCTATTGTTTACAAATATTATTGGGTGCCAACAAGAAATTCGATTGCCTATGTAGTTGGAAGTTAGCGTGTAATCCGGTCATGTTATTCCAAAACCATTGTATGGTACATGTATGATCATTGGGCAAATTAGTTTGGTATAATAGAGGTTAACGATGTTCAAAAATACTATATATATATATATAGCAAAGGCTAACGTATGTCAGTCGTACGCTGTACGCCTGTGCTCACACTTGATTTTTGCACTTCAATATATTTCGCTGAATCAGAACCGTCGGTTATTATTTTTTAGATTAAATGAATCTCGTGGTTTGGGTTAGAGAATTAGGGGTTGGGGGTTTATCCATTAGAAGTTAGAGTATAGTATCATGCCCAAAATTTCGGTTAATTCCTGCTCTAAATAGTAAAACTCGACGGGCGTACAATGTACGACTGACGTACGCTAGCCTACATATATACATGGTTCAGGCTATCGTACGCCCGGACGTTCGTTAGATTACCGTACGCCCGTTTGAGTTTTGCTATTTAGATCATGAATTAACCGGAGTTTTTGGCATGATACTATACCCTAACCACTAATGAATAAACCCCAGTCACCGATTTTCTAACCCATATATATTAATTTCAATTATCACGAGTCTCGAAACATATTCCTAAACCACCATGCTCGGCCCAATCCAAAGTTGGAATTATCAGAAAACGTCCTCTAAATGAATCGCTTATCATGGTTCTCAAATTAAACGGTGAAAGGTAACAGTCGACTACGTACCACAAAAATATCGAGTATTCACGGGTTCAAAATTGGCTTCAAACATACCTATCCCGGCGATAAATAATTGATATAAATATGTCGACGATGTTGACGTTTGGCAGTCCCAAAGAGATACAATAGAATTGAATTGCTGGCTAATGTTCATATCATAAAGACCGGCAGCCAGCCGATTAACAATCTGCAGCAAAGCAAAAGGAAGAGATTCGGTCTTGTCGTGGAGGGAATGGAAAGAAGCGGCGTGCTGAAATCAAAGCTGCAAATGATAAGAGAGAAAGAAATTGCTATATACTATTTACCCTAATACACAAATGATAATATCGTTTTTATAGTTTGGAAATCGATGGCAGGTTCTGTTTGGAAGCTTCGACGGCGGACAAGAACCTGGTTCCAAGAATTCCCCCGAAAGATAGATAGATGGATGGGTTAGTTGGGAACCCTTTGGTGGTATTTCAAGGAGATAACTTATTAATTAATTATATTAGATTAATGTGGGTGGAATTCGTTTATCGGTAATTTAATAGGAATTCATTAGCATTATTATAAGGGTTTGATTTCGATATAAAATCCAGAACGGCAAAACCTACAAAATTCCGTGTTTTATCACACATGATATGAATAATAATGCTTTTGGTCGGTATTTGGAACGATATATAAGGGAGGTATATCTTTGGAAATTCCGATAAAAACCGTATAAAAATAATACAATGTAAGAGCCACTTATGTTACATTACAACTGCTTTATATTGAAGGAAAAGATTAGTCTTCCCTCCATGGATCGATGGCGAAGTCCAGCATAATAATCTTCCGGATAGGTTATGTGCTAGCAAGTTCCTTAAATTATCTTTGTCTCGATTGAATTTGTTGCGTATTTCATTTTAACTTCCCTCCAACTCATCATATTTGATGTTGTGTTAATATCAGAATTACGAAAATTCAAACACGAAATCTTTGAATTCTAAACACTATCATATATTAATCATGATTCATGTGGGTGGAAGGAAAGATGATGTACATGGGGTTGTTTGCTATCAGCCGGTTTTTATTCCCTTTTGCATGATGAGAGATGGATTTCGACGTAAACACACATATATATGTACAATGCAAAAAGAGACAAAAGTTAGTATATGCTAATAGTTGCTTACAGGAAAAATATAAAATACCAAATAAATTCACGAGCTATACACAGGCACAAATTTTAAAATTATTATAGATATTATTAATTTTGTCTAGGCGCCGTGCAATTGATGTGGAATAGCTAATGAGACAAATAAATAAAGACACACACAAACCTTCCAAAATTCAACACTTATACTTACTGCCTACGTTACTTACAAGTAATTTACATATTAATGAGTGATATATATTGTGGCTGTTTGCTGCCAAACTTTTCTGTTCTGTTGGCCAACCGGGACAATTTCTTTTTTTATTTATTTATAAATTTATAATATTTGTTTATTTGCATTTTTTTGGTTATGTGTTTGTAATGATAAGACTGTTGTTAACTTTGTTTGCCGGTGGAATCACCTTGGCCGAATGGGAAACTATAGAATCATAGCCAAGAGAAAATAGTTAAGTACTTAACTCTATTGGAAGAAAAAATATGTTTCTAGGTTGCCAAGAAGAAGGGCAAGCCCTTGACCATAGTTATCAACGACTAAAGGGAGATCATGACGTTGAAACCCTCTTCGGGTTGTTAGAAGCCATGAAAGAAACGCTCGCAAGAAGGTGATGTTTTGCTCCCCAAAGATAGCATAATTAGCACCGAACGGGTCGTAGGGTGCGCTGAATTTCCCGTTTAGGTTGCAACAAAGGAGACTTGGTTGGAAGAAACAACTTACTTGGTGGAGGTATGAAAGCACACTGCTGGAAATTAGGACACTTAATCGATCGAAGTTGATTGCTAGCACGAGATTAAACATTATTTCCCTCGTCGTGACGTTTAAGAGATGTTCAAAGGACCGATGATAGATTGGAGAGTTCAACAACATATGAGGTGTATTATGAATGTTGTTATATACAACTGCATGATCTCCGGTTCAAAGCTTCACTACTCTCACTTTTATCTTCTTTTGTAAATTTTTGGGCGATTTTTTTTCAAAGTTACATTTTACTTGGATTTTCAAGGCTACAGATCACAGATTCGGCCGGAGACTATTCTTCAAGGATAATTAAGTCCATTAAGACCGATTTGGAAATATTTATTCCGGGTTCATTTTTGTCAGATTCCAAAGGGGTACCATCACAGATTTCGGGTGATTTTCCCGAAATGCCATTTTCTTTCGATTTTGAAGGCTATGGATCACGGATTCGGCACGAGACTATTCTCCACCGATGGTGAAGTCTATGGATCCAATTCTCCACCGGCGATTAAGTCCATTAAGAAACAATTTGGGGGAGTTACTTTTAGGATGAATTTTCGTAATTTTTTGGGCGATTTTTTTTCGAAGGGCCATTTTACTTGAAATTTGAAGGCTATAGATCACATATTCGGCCTGAGAATATTCATCAAGGATAATTAAGTCCATTGAGCACCGATTTGGGCGGATTTATTCCGGGTCAGTTTTTGTCAAATTCGAAAGGGGTACCATCACAGATTTCGGGCGATTTTCCCGAAATGTAATTTTCTTTTGATTTTGAAGGCTACAGATCACAGATTCAGCTCGAGGCTATTCTCCACCGAAAATGAAGTCTATATCC